TTTCGCCACTGCGCCAACACCACACTCACCAAAAAAAAAAAAAAAAATATATATATATATATATATATATATATATATATTTAGGCCTACGTTTAAGGATTATGTATTTTTTATTGCATATAAAATGTCGATCCATTTAAATTACACAGTTTAAATATGAACAAAATAATAGCTCTATATGTGATGCATGAAACGGGTAAGATTTCTGCACTCAAAAAAATCACAGCATAGATTATTATTTTCTATTTTGCATCTATTGGATTCAAGGTTATTATCGTTAACTAAAACTGGAATTAAAACTATAAAAAAATGTTACTTGAAATAAAATAAATTTAACTGAAATAAAATATTTAAAAAATTAACTAATTATATTTCAGCTATTGCCAAAGCAGCATTTGCCATTTTATTCTGTTTAACTTGAAGTACTAAAATAATCTAAAATGAATTTTAAAAAATAAATAAAAAAACAAAAAGTAATACAAATTACAAAAACAAGTTAATTGAACTTAAAAATCAAGTGAAAATGCATAATAGAAAGTTAAATCTAATTTAAAATATTAACAAATACTATACTATATCAATGATACTAAAATAACACAGATTTGGTTTTATTTAAACAACAGTGCTTTAATTCAGATTGTTTAAAATCAATTAATTGTGAAAAAAAAATTAAATTGTTCAGTTAAAAAGTATGAACATGGTTAAAATATAGCTAGCTGTGGAAGAAGCAATATTTAATTAAATGTATAAGATTGAAACAATTTGGATTTATTGATGATAAATATTTACGCATTGTTATTATGTATTTAAATCATATTCATTTCATTAGTACTATTACAGAAATCTTACCAGTTTCATTTATGACTGACAAATATGCATCACTATAAGCATATTAGTTTGTTTATGCTAAAACTGAATGGAAATTTTATATTGCAATTCAAATACATAAATCTTAAATACAGGCCTAAATACTTTCAAAGTGTTTTTTTGCCTCAACACTTTGAAGTTTTAGAAAGCGACAGGGAGGGAAAAACCAAAGACGGATGGAGAAAAATAGTCTTTATGTGTGGCACAGTCCTACGAATCAGCTCAAACGACCTCAACCTGCTTCAGTTCCTAGCGTAGCCGGAATCTCTTACATGTGTGCGATGGTCTGTGTGTGTGTGTTAGATCTTATTTTTGAGGTGTGTGTGTGTGTGTGTAACTGACGTCTGACTGACTGGTTGACAGACAGACACTGGGATATTTGGACAGACTCATAGACAGACTGACGTTGAGAAGGTAAGAAAGAACCGTGGTAAAAACCCGAGCCCACGTTCCCATTCCACGTTCCATTTATCCTGGGCTTCAGCAATCACTTTAACATCCAGAGCACCTAGACATAGAAATAACATAATGTTATGCTTTAAAGTGAACATCCAGTGTCTGTTGCAGATATGTGTATGTGTGAGTTCTGCTACATGGCTAATAATAATAATAAGTTTAATTTATGTAGCGCCTTTCCCAAGCTCAAGGACGCTGCACAATGACCAAAGCAAATAAACACTCATGTCATACATACATGGACAAGACATTTTCCAAGTCCAGAACATGTGGTTGCAGTTGCATACCATAGTAATAATACAGTATCATAATCAAAAAAAAAAAAAAAAACATTATAACAGGTAATATTGGTAGAACATATAGGTTTTGAGTTTAGACCTAAATTCGTGGAGTGTGGTAATTGTCCGGAGAGCCAGGGGCAATGTGTTCCAAAGTTTGGGAGCCATAACAGAGAAAGATCTACCTCCCAGAGATAATCTCGGCAAAATCTCGGAACACAAAGAAGTTCATCTCCAGATGATCGAAGTGGACGAGAGGGAATATATGGAGGAAGCAGGTCAGAGAGATAGGTAGGTGCAAGACCATGGAGTGACTTAAAGGTAAGCAAAAGAATTTTATAAATGATACGAGAGGACACAGGTAGCCAGTGGAGGTTGAATAGAATAGGAGTGATATGTGCAGACCGTTTAGTGTAAGTTAGCATTCTCGCTGCAGAAATTTGAATATATTGCAATCGAGAGATGGAGCGTACTGGTAATCCGGAAAAAAGAGCGTTGCAGTAATCAAGGCGGGATGTGATTAAAGCATGTACTAGTAATTCAGCATCTTTTGGACTAAAGCAGCTTCTTATCTGTCTCTAGCTAAACTAACATATCATAACACAATATCTGTGTATACTGTAGTACAGAGCATATAAAACAGCTACAGTAGTTTCACATTTTTACCTGGCATTAGAAATTAAAATGAATCTGATTGTAAGGTAATTTATTGAGGAAATAAATATTCCTAAATCTTTTGAAATTGTTATTTTAATGACATTTTAATTTGTATTATTATCATCATCATCATTATTATTATTATTATTATTATTATATTTTTATTTACAAAAAAGAAAACACTTTTTAAAACCTCAATTTCTATTTATCTTTAATTTATCTTTTATTTCAGTTTTAGTAATTTTAGTACTTTATTTAAACTTATTTTATTTCAGTTAGTTGCCAATGCAACATTTAATTTTTTTTGTTT